TATTTATACAAATTTGGATATAGTACTCTGTGAACCTTACTCTGTGCACCAAACTGCATTCAAGTCTTTTTAATATAACTTTGTATGATTTTTATTTGCAAAAATGGAAGACTCAAATCCGAGAGATGAAACTACACTCGGACAATTCGTCAAGTCAGTAAGGAAGACAAAAACCAGAGCGATATTGAACTCGCAGACTGCTAAGCTCACCCCTGCACAAAACGTTGGACATCAAATCATAGATTCTGCAGAGTCTTCCACAAGACAACAACCAGAAGCTCTCAAAAGAAAGAGGGCACAACCAACAAAACGAGAGCAAGTACATAAACCTGACACGGATTACTTCAGCACGCGGATGGGTCCCAGACAAATGTTTGAACTTGTCCAACGCCTATCACAGGATCAGAAGGATGCTGTTGTTGATATAGGTTTTGGAGGCCTGCTACATCTGCAATTCTCAAGCAATTATTCACAATTAGTTGAGTATCTTCTGAAAAGATTTGATGTTTTCAAGTCAGACTTTGTATTGGATGGTGATGTTCTGCATGTCAATGAAGAGGATGTTGAATACACGTTGGGGATCCCTCGGGGAAAGAGGGATGTTGAGGAGGGGACAAAATCTGAGGAAAATTCTACAGTTGCGTATAATAAGCTCCTAACTGACTGGAGGAAGAGGTGGAATGTCCAAGCAGGGTCACCCATAACAACCAAGATGCCTGATGAGATAATCAGAAGAAGTTACCATGGTGATGCTTTTTTCAAGAGAGACTTTGTGGTGTTCGCTGTTTCCTGCCTGCTCCAAGGAAACACTGGAAGATATGCCAACTACAGAGTTCTTAAGTCGTTGATCAACATCCGGGCAATTTCAAGACTGAATTGGTGCCGATACACATACAGGTCTCTGATTGATTCAATTGAGATTTACAAGGAACATCCTACAAGATCCTTTGCAGGGCCAATGGTATTCATCCTGGTAAGATCCTATTATACATAAAGTGTTTTTAATTATGGAATTATAGTTATGCAATTATGGAACTATAGTTATGCAATTATGGATGTGTAGTTATGCAATTATGGATGTGTAGTTTTGCAATTATGGAATTATAATTATGCAAATATGGATTTGTAGTCATGCTATTCTGAATGTGTAGTTGTGCAATTATGGATGTGTACTTATGCAATTCTGAATGTGTAGTTATGTAATTATGGATGTGTACTTATGCAATTTTGGAATTATAGTTATGCAAATATGGATGTCTAGTTATGTAATTATGGATGTGTATTTTTTAAATTATGAAATTATAGTTTTGCAGCTATGGAATTATAGTTATGAAATTATGGAATTATAGTTATGCAATTATGGATGTGTGCTTATGCAATTATGGATGTGTGGTTTTGCAGTTATGGAATTATAGTTTTGCAATTATGGAATTATAGTTATGGAATTATGGAATTATAGTTATGCAATTCTGAATGTGTAGTTTTGCAATTATGGAATTATAGTTATGTAAATATGGATTTGTGGTCATGCAATTCTGAATGCGTAGTTGTGAAATTGTGGAATTATAGATATCCAACATGCATGTGTAGTTATGCAAATCTGGATGTGTAGTTATTCAATTCTTTAACATGCTCTTCTGTAATTTTTGAAGCTGTTCTATTTCGACCGGTTAGAGTTCAAAGACATGGTTGTCAACCGAACATTCCCTTCAATCAAAGCTTGGACAAAGATGCTCGTACGTAAGAGGGTATCAACTGAAATAAAGTCAGGGGGTTTGGAAAGGGGAAAGTTATCCCTAGATTTCAAAGGCCAACCACCATTGCAACAACATCATCACCCAGACCTGCACCTGCTGCTGCTGCGATACCTAGACCAGTACCCAGCCTTGTTACTACACCAACCGTTCCAACTCAATCTGTGCCACTCTCTAATGTTGACAGAGTGACACGTGTGCTTCAGAGGCTTACAACAGATGTACTGGAATTCGGTCAGGTCATGTCTGATATCGGCAAGCAAGGGGCACCAGTTGAGATCATAAAGAAGGCTTTTTCGGGAATCTCCATGATGCTGAGTGCTGCAAGCACAATTCAACCCACTTCTATCCCAACTGCCTCACAACTGGATGACATATGGAACTAGAAAACAAGAAACAAGAGCTACTTGGACGCTCTACTCCAACACCACCACAATCTCAAGAGCAACCTTTGGACATCCTGGTGGAGAAAATTGGGAGGAGTGCAGGAGTATCAACCTCGAAGGAGAAGGAAGCAACTCCATCACTAATTAGAGTGCCATTTGAAAAATCCACCACTCCTACTACACATGCTGCCCAAGATGCTGAGATTGATGACTTTGATAGGTAGGTTAATGCTTTCTTATGTAGGTTTAAACTATGAATGTGATGTTCAATTGATCAATATTTATTAATATGAAGTTTGATTATTATGAATATGTTCTTATTCAACTATTGACATTGATTGTTACAATTATGGATATATAGTTCTCAAATTATGAATATATAGTTTTCAGATTATGGTTGTGTAGTTATGCAATTTTGGACCTATACTTGTGAAGTTATGAATTTGTAGTTATGCAATCCTGGATGTATAGTTGTTACTTTATGGATCTTTATTTATGAATATATGGTATCATAACTGCCTATGTTTTTTGTAAACAACAATGCTATGCAAAAGAGCGAATCTGACGTCGAAGATGTCACCGTGAGGAAATTCAGAAACATCCCACTTTATTTGAGGTCACCGTACTGGACGAAGAATAAAGGCTCCATCCATAATGCAACTCCCAAAGAAAAGGTCATTTCAAACTACGCATTTTTGGAAGCCTCAACTGAGCACCCAGGAGGGTATGTTTCCATCCACATATTTTACATGAATTTTATTTATTAATTTATGTTATTTTATTTATTTATTTATTATGTTGTAGAGAGATATTGTTCAACTACGGTGACTACTACTTATCTAGGGATGACTTTGCCACTCTGAGCAATGGTGAGATACTCAGCAGCTTCTTAGATGTCTGGTCCTTGCGTTTTACATTGCTAAACACATCCCGTGCAGTTGGGGAGACAAAGCGAGTCTACTTCTCCACACTAGTACATGTAAGTGTTTTTTTTTTTTTATTTGACTTGCAAACACCTATTTTAAAAATTTGAATTTACATTAAGAGTTATATAATAATAATTACACTAAAAGTAGTTATGGATGTTTATTTGTGCAATTGTGGATGTGTAGTTATGCAATTCTAGATGTTTGTAGTTAGTTATGCAATTATGGAATTATAGTTTTGCAATTATGTAATTATAGTTTTGCAATTATGGATATATAGTTATGCAATTCTGGAAGTGTAGTTATGTAATTCTGTATGTATAACTTTAACATTTTCAAAGTATAGTGTATGAATTATGAATACTCATTCCTGCATTTGTGTATACAGCTGCAGATTGATCCAAATGACCAGTGGATGAAGGATCTCCCAACTAACATGAAAAAGAAGAATTTCAATGAACGATTAAGATATGAATTATCCAGCTTTGGGAACCTTGATATCAGTGACGCAGAATTAGTAAGTTCTATTATCCATGTCCAATTTGACTTTATCATGTCCAAAAAATATTAACATTGTTTTAACTTTGAATTGGAATTAGATATTTTTCGGAATTCATCGCCATGGTCACTACTTTTTGGTCTGCTTCAACATAAAACAACATAAAGTACAGATCATAGACAATAAGGAGTTGGCAGTTGGTGTTTCAGAGAGTGACAAATATTGAAACTGTCCACGCTTGTTGGTAAAACTGATATAAAAAAAAAAAAATCTTGAACTTCTTATCATTACCTATATATTGATTTTAAAGCATTATCAACCCTAAACTAATTTTTTGTCCAGATTGAAGCATTCAACGATTACCTTAAGGCCGAATGCTACTCCTTATATGTGAGCTTGCAAAATATTGAAATAGAGTTCCTTGAGTTAGATTGGGCAAACACTGAAAATGTCACCGATTGTGGAATATATGTACTTAAGCATATGGAGACATACAAAGGGACTCTAGAAATTAAAGAAGAACATGCGCTTGAATGTAAGAGTACAATAAAAATATTACTTTCAAAATACATTAAAAAAAATGCATAAAACTAGTTACTTGATGTTCTTTATTTACAGGCAAGCTTCATATACGAATTGAGACTGAAATATGCTGCCAATCTCATAAAGTGGAGGATGAACACAGCCAGGGGGATGTTCTAAAAGCGGCCAAAGGTGTCTCCAAGAAGAAGTGAATGAATTTATATCTTTGACATGTTGACTGTATTCTAAAAATGTGAAACTTTTTGTGTTCTACATTAACAATGTGACTTGACTCTGTGACTGCGTGACGCTAACACTGAATACCAATTTACTTCTAATCTATGCAATTCTATTTTTTTTTTCACATATCAAATCTACAATTGCATGACTACACATACGTAACTTCATAACTGTAGATCCATAATTGCATAACTACAAATCCATAAGTTAATAAATGTACATCCATAATTGCATGACTATAAATCCATAACTATATAATTGCATAGCTATAATTCCATAATTGCATAACTATAATGCCATAATTGCAAAACTATAATTCCATAATTACAAAACTATAAAATCAGAATTGCATAACTACACATCCATAATTGCATAACTATAATGCCATAATTGCAAAACTATAATTCCACAATTGCAAAACTATAAATCCAGAATTTCATAACTATACATCCATAATTGCATAACTATAATTCCATAATTGCTTAACTACAATGTCATAATTGCAAAACTATAATTCCATAATTGCAAAACTATAAATACATAATTGCATAACTGTAAATACATAATTGCAACCCTACATATCCAGAATTACAAAACTATAAATCCAGAATTGCATAAGTTCAATAATAACAACTTGTATTAACATGCTCTCAATCTACACCTATATTGTCATCTAAACCCTTGCTAAACTGAACAAAATCTGAACTCGAAGAACTTGGATGTACAAGATATCCATCCCAGCAAGCTTTGATATGCCTTCCAAAACCAAAGATTGAACATCACCCTTCGTACTCAATGCAACTTTATTTGCAGCACTCCTTCTTCCCCTTGCAAGACTGTATTTCTTTTCAATAACACCACTCCTCCTTTTATTACGCTCACCTTTCAATCTCTGACTTGAAGGATTTTGTACACCACCATTTGAAGATGCAGCACCACACTCTTCAATATGCACATACCCAATCTCAGCTTCAACCTTTTTCTTTGCATCGTCAACAGCTTCATCACAAAATTTTCTAGCTACACTACTATCTTTACTAGAAACAACTAATTTTTGAAATTTCCTACTAATATCAAAAACCCAAATTGAAGGAGGGACACCAACATTATAAACCATAGAATCAATGTTGACATTCCTACCATCAATAACCTTTTTAGTCCATCTTTTAAGGATATATTTGTCAGGGATACTAGAAACACAATGTACATGAAGAATGCGTATACAATGACAGCATAGAATTCCCAACTCAGAAATCAACTTGCAACTACAAGAAATGTCAAAGTTGGCTGGGCTAAAACTAACTTCATGCCTTATAATGTCTATATCTGGCCGCCACACGTGATACTTGTGTTGACTGCCATCATTTAACACCATTTCTTGATGACAAGCACTGCCTTTCATAAATTGTTCTTCAAACAAAAAAAAAAATATATATATATATATATATATATATATATATATATATATATATACCTCTCTAGCATGTGAAAGAAGTTTCACGTGCTCCATCATCATAGCGGGTACCCCTTGAGCACAACGAAAATCTTCACCATTCTTTTTACTTCTCCATTTAGAAATTATGCTTATAAACGATGAATAGAAATCACAAAGACCTGTTGTCTTAGATAGCCTTCTAGAAATCGAATGATTTGTAGTTTCACTCCTTTGTGACGACAAAATGCCCCCAGAAAAATAATCCTTGTTAAATTTAGACACCACTTCTCCCTACAGTCATAAAGCTTTTCTAACAATGTATTCTTGTGACATTTATAGTCAGTCACCAACCTGAAAATGATAAGACACAATCACTAATGTTTATGAAATAGAATAACAAAACAATATCACCACACCTCTAACACATGCTCAAAATTCTACTGCTATATATGCATAATTGGAATACTATATATCCATAATTGATATACTATACATCCATAATCCATATACTACATTTCCATGGGCCACCAGTCAGTTCAACTGCTATACATCCATAATTGCTATACTACACATCCATAATTGATAAACTATACATCCATAATTCATATACGACATGTTTAGAGACCAGCAGTAAGTTCGAGTGCTAAACATCCATAATTGGTAGACTATACATCCAAAATTCATATACTATACATCCATAATAAATATACTAAGTGATCAGAAAGCCTAATACTATATATATATATATATATATATATATATATATATATATATATATATATATATATATATATATATATATATATATATATATATATATATATATATATATATATATATGAAATATAATCCAAAAATACTATATATATGCAATATAATTCAATAAAAACCATTAATTACTAACATACCTTGTCCAATAAAATTGAAACTCAGCTTCGGTCTCTGTGTATTTCAACACGTAGTTAAACATATCCCAGAAATCCTTATTATTCCTTAACGTCTTGATATGCTTCTTTGAATTCTCACCAATATGCCATATGCAAAGACGGTGACGTGATGTTGGAAACACTTGAGAAATAGCAGCAGCCATAGCTGCACATTGATCTGTCATGATAGACTGTAGACACTTACCACCCATAGACCTTAAAAACGCTTTAAACAACCACACAAACGATTTTATCCTCTCGTTCATAAAAAACTCGCATCCAAACATTACATTCATGCAATGATGATTCATCCCTACGAAAGGGCCACAAATCATATCATATTTGTTGGTATGATATGTCGTATCATGCACTAACAAATCCTCAAACACCTCATAATCTCGTCTCATTTGACCATCCCTCCAAAAAGAACTGCACAATCTTGAATCCAAATCAAGTTCAAAATCAAAGAAAAAATCGGACTCGGTAGACTGCCTCCTCCTAAATATTTCAATTAAAGAGTTAGAATCCGTTCCATCCAATCGCTTGACTGTATCAGCGGCCATTGAATTATAAGCATCTCTATTGGTGAAACCAACTAATGGAGACCACCTGATTGATGTTTTAGGAACCTAATACCATCCGTCAGTGCAACTCCACTGTCTTTCAAACCTTGTAAATATAAGAGCTGGTTATCTCAAACACTTCTATGTGAACGAAGTAGATGACTCTTGTTGAACACACATAACTCATGATTGTGCACTTTCTCATGTTTTGTAACTGTCCACAACCCATCATCACCCACATCAAACTGAACAAATGTTTCACACCATGTCCTTGTGTCAATTTTTGAATAACCCTTAACCCCACTGTTTGCCTTATAACCAGCCTTAGAACAACAAAAGTTCTTCGTTTGAATTGTGTTAGTAGATCCCTTGTAACGTTGATGATCCTTCCTCACACTAAAACCAACTCTATATGCATAATTGTTATACAACTCATAAGTCGCATCAACATTACTTACTACCGAACCAACCAAATTTTGATCAACTGCAAATATAACACAATAATAACCATTTCCCTTAAAATATAATTCCTAGCCAGAATTTGCTAATTAAAAGATAAACAACTATGAATAAACCTGGAATTGAAGAAGAGCCATCAATGTCTACATCTGCTTGATCTGAACTCACTGAACCATCTGCAATGCCTTCACTAAGTACATTATATAAACATTGTGAACATTATTTCAAACAGTTCATCAAACAGCAAAAACAGAGTACCTACGAATTATGAATATACTGTTAATAAATTATGGATATATAGGTATGTTATTATGGATATATAGTTATGATATTCTGGATAAGCAGACGCAACAAACTGTCAAAACAGAGTACTCGCGAATTCTAAATATATAGTTATGCAATTCTGGATGGAATTATAGTTATATAATTCTGGAATTATTGTTATACAATTATGGATATTTACTTATGAAATTTTGTATAAATATTTACAAAACCAACAAACTCATATTCATTGTACCACAATCAAACAAAATGGCAGATTCTAAACACAAACATCAATCAAACATACTGCTAGAGCACAATTTTATCGCAATGAATCGCAAAAGCATACAAAAACGCAAAAGGAACAAATGCAAAAACAAACGCAAAAATGCAAAGCACCTTGAATCGAAAGCAGAGCATCAACTGCAGAATCTGTCTGCTCTGTTGCTTCCTCCATCTAACACTCAATACGCAAAATTGAATGCAATTCCGATACCGATTCCGATTGCGAATGCGCAGATCTCGAATGCCAATTCCACAATGAGTAACTGCCAAAAACCGAATTGGAAACTTGGAAAAGAAACAATTGCGAAAGGAAACAAACGCCGTTAACGGAATTTTTTTTTAAGATATAAGACCGAGTGTTACTCTAAAACGACGTCGTGTGCATTGATATGCACCATGCATGGTGCATACGGATGCACAACATAATTTGCCTACAAAGAGCAATCGTTATGCTATGGACCCGTGTCCAGCATGTTAAGCCAATATGTGGCTAGAATATCTTTAGTTGTTACTTGTTCTATTTGTGCTCCTGTACACTGGTTATATTTGGTTGTAACTTCCTACTATCTACACTCCTCCATGTACTATATATAGGTTGTGTTTTACATCAATAAACATGCAGTTAATTCATTCACATGGTATTACTATATGTTCATAATTGTAAGTTCATAATGTCAGAGCTCTGTGTTCATAATTCTATAACTGTACATTTATAATTTCATTACTGTACATTTAAAATTCCATAACTGTACATTCATAATTTCATAACTGTACATTCATACCACAAACGAATAACGCCGTTAACGGCAAGACAAAATCAATTTTTGTTAATTGGAATGCCGTCGTTTTTCCTGAAAACGACATCGTTTTGGAATCGTGTCCACAATGCATAGTGGACACGAGTCCACAGCATAATTTGCCTGCAAAGAGGAGAGAGATGAGAGAGAAAAGATGAGAAAAAGAAAAAGAAAAAAGAAGAAAAGATAGTGAACTGTTCTGGAGAATGTTTCATTTAGTTTTTTATTGGGACCCACAAAGATCTTTAATTTGAGAAAAAAAACTCAAATGAAAAATCATGCTCTCCATTTGTCAAAAATCAATGCATGATTTTTTCTTTCCAAATAAAAACCAACAAAAAATCCCAAATGGGGATGCAAGGCTGGATTTATTCTTGAAATTTGTCTACTTGCAAAGTGATGTGGAACTTTCTTTTTTTCTATTTTAAAAATTATTTTTAAAAGCCACGTAGCTTGAAAGCTCTCACAAATTGAATGCTTGTAAGTATGATAAAAGGATGATAGCCTTTTATACTTATATATATACTTTTAATTTTTATTTATTATTATTATATTATTATTTTGTTACTCTCTCTCTTTGTCTCATTTCATCTGTCTTACCTACTATTTGTTGATTAAACCAATTCTTTTGACTCTGTTTATTTTCTTTAGTATTATTTACTTATTTTTAATTTTTTTTTTTTGTGTTTAATAGTACTTTTAATATAGTTTCTAAATATATAAATTTTCTATACTAATACTAAACTTAATATTATAAAAAATTAGATTAAAAATAACAACATCAGTCAAGTCTGGTTAATCGAACCAGATATATAAAATGAGACGGATGGAGTATTATATTATAATAATGTAATGTGAAAATTATACCATTTTTAGAAATGAGAGAGTTTTGCATGTGTAAAAAATAGTGAAGGAATTACAAATTTGATAATGTAGATGTAGGATCCATTTTTTAAATTTAGAGAATATTGCATTGATAAAAATAGTCTAAGTAATATAACAAAGAAGAGTTGATAATGTAGATGTAGGATCCATTTTTTAAATTTAGAGAATATTGCATTGATAAAAATAGTCTAAGTAATATAACAAAGAAGAGGTGAATAGTAATTGGATTAATATTTGATGCACCGTCGCTGTATAGATGTTATACATCGGTGGTGAATGAGGAGGTGACACGCCATTAAAAAATAAAATCAATATTAATCGAATCATTTTTTGCGAAATATCTAAGACATTAGGTAACTCTTTTATTTCTAATTAACAAAATATATTTACTTTGACAAAGAACAATGAGGAGGTGACACGCCATTAAAAAATAAAATCAATATTAATCGAATCATTTTTTGCAAAATATCTAAGACATTAGGTAACTCTTTTATTTCTAATTAACAAAATATATTTACTTTGACAAAAAACCAATAACGCCTCCATTGAGGTTCAAACTCATAACTTTCCAAATGGAAGTCCATCTCAGGTACCATTAGACTACATAGTCTTGATAAATATATTTATTACTTAATTATTATATATCTAATTATTTACAATGTTAACTCGTCGTTCAATTCTAAGACAATGAAACCTTAAAACAATTAACAATGGGAGGAATTATGATTATTAACAATGTTATTAACTGATTCTTTCCTTAAAAT